GGAAATTAATAAGTACTAAAATAGCAAATTAAGAACTCTGTACAGTATATATGTACAGTATAAATATATATATAATTATATATATATACACACATATATATATATGAAGTGGTTATAAACTTAGATCAAGCCACAGCATGTTTTCCACTTTAAGAGAACTAACTTTTCCTTCAACAACTAATGATGTGGATAATGTGCTACAGATTTTTCTGCCAGGTAAAACTAGACATATAGAAACATTTCTAAAACGTAGATTCTTAGGAGCTAAAGAAAATGTATAACAGTGTTAAATATTATTGGTGGTGCTTCTCTCATGTACAAAACAGCAATCTCTAACAGCACCTTCAAGTAAAATAGTTGTATTTCCTCTTTAGTGTCACAGCAGGGGATAATAGTAGCAAAGACATCGTAACAGGTATATTATTGCTGTATTTTTAGAGGTTAATTTGTGTAGATTGTGTATATTATTGTTAAATGACTTTGTGTAAAAGGATTTAAATGTAATAGTTTTACAGCAAGATAACTGTTCAATTGTAGGTATATGAAATATTTGCTTATTTATATGCAGAGATTTACCATGCTGAAGAGTTGTCTTGTATTTTCTTCCATTTGTAATGTATCCTATTTATATATTATTGAAGTTCTAAATAATGTTTATGGTATTTTAGTGTCTTTGTGAGCCAAAGAAAAAAACACAAAAATATTAGTTGACACTTTCATTTAAATCCTAGTGCCCTTAAAATAATAACTTACAGATAATTTTACTGAATATAAAGAATTCTAACATTGTGTATAGACTGTCAAATGATGAGATCCTTTTAATCTATTAGAATTTTCAGTTTTATTTATTGTAATGTCAGACTGTCTGTTTAGTGTTCTGAATGCTTTTCTAGTGAATATTGGTTGCTAACCAAGGCCCCTGTTTTTGAGTTTTATTTCAGGACTAATCGCTATGACCATTTTGACTAAATTCTGTGGGAGTTTCCACCAGCATCATTCTTTTAATGAAATGGAATTCACTATGTGTTTGACGCTTATAAAATAAATAAAACCAAAAGTAATCTCAGAATCTTTAAATACAGCTGGCTTGTCACAACAATTTCAACTGGCTAGACTGTTCAAAGTATAGACACCAGAATCATCCGCAGCTTGTTCAGTTTTAATCATTAGATAATCAATACTACCGAGTGGAAAACTCCATACTGGAAGCAGAGCAGTGGAACAAAATGAAGATTCAATAATCCTCTGCCTACCAAGTTACTAAAAATTATTATATATTTGTCACTGTCTTTAGATTTATGAGTGTGACTTTCAAAAGATTATCTACATCGTTACTTTTATGCCATGAAACCCCCCAGTAATCTCATCAGTACAATATTTCTTTCATTAGGTTATATTCCTGAAGACGGTGTAGTTGGTCTTGCCTTCTTGATCTTAAACCTTAATCTTCCTTAATTATAACCCTGATATCTTACCATGTCTTCAATACTTAACGTTTCTTGATGTAAACATCCATGCTGTATGATGCAAGGCCTGCAATACAGAAGTAGTCAGCGTGAACATCGGCTTCAGTACCAACTTCCATGATATTAAATGCCATTCTTTATAGGTATCAGCTATTCATCAAAACTAGAGGGTCTCTCACTGAGAGCTGTTTTTAGAGTACAGAAAGAAGTTTGTTTTGAAGAGGAAGTACATGTCACATTTCGATTTACAGGCTTCTGCCTGAAATCTGGCATCTGTCACAGTTTTACTTTATTCAAAGGGCAGCTACAGAAGATTAAAAGATTTCCCTCAGTTGTTCTTGTTTACGAGAAACAATATGAACTAGTATAATCAATGCAAAGATGTATAACTGCTGACCTAGCTTCACTAGGGGATTTTACGTCTTCCACACAAGCAGCACCACGGTCCTTGTGATTTCTTCAACCAGTTCTTAGGTGAGAATTTCTGACTTCCTCCACCTCCCTAGTCAAGGTATTTCAGCAACAGTATTACTAAAGATCGCAACTTACCCTTAATCCTCTAATCTTAATATTTTAACCTCATGGACATTGTATCCAGATCATCATCTCAATATTCTATTAATAATTTATTGTATTTGAAATCTTATATCTCCTGGAAGCATATAAACTAGATAAAGAGAATCATCCTCACGTAACTGATCATGAAACTATAGGAAAGACCATAATATGGCTTACTGGCATTCATACAGCAAGCCTTGGACAGTCCTGTGATGTAGTCGGAAATAGATCTAGATGTCTTCAGCACATATACAATGTTTTGCTCACTGAAATTTCTGCTTCTTCATTTAATAGAGTATCTTGTGGTTTGGAGGTCAAAAGCATCAGAGGTTCTACCTATTGCCATTGATGGTTTGCACCTAGATGGGAATAATGGAGCTCCTCCTGCCTGTTAAGCAAGACAGTTAACACAGAGGTGTTTCCTCTAAAGACAGCGGCTTTAAATTTATCTTCCTACCCTCTGCATTTTACCTTGCCTTTCTGCAGTGTTGTGTCTTGACACAGATGACATGATACCCACAGTTAGATTTTTGCAAAGATTTTAATTCTAATACAAGACTCTGGAGTGTTTCCCTATTATATGTACCTGCTTCCACAGGCGCAGGGCTTGTTAATTTCCAACTTGGTTAGCTGATTTTAACAGAGCAGTTATGGTCATCAGTGAGAAAACTCACCTGTGTTTTCTTCTCAGTAGGTAATTTTCATCTGAGTAATATGTTACACCTTTCTCAGACAAAAGCTTACCTGGAATTCTCCTGCTTTTTAATCCATACACTATTGACTGAGAGAGACCAGGAAGCATGGATATACAGAAGTGTAGACTAATGCAAAGCATTGCAATTCCAGGTGAGTAACTTTGTTTTTCTGAGGTTTAAAATATACTCTAAGGTAGCAATTTTGCCTTTAAAATCACACGGACAATCACTGTAATTTTGTGTGGGTGAATTCAGATCAAATAAACAATAGGCAGGATCTTGGCTGAACATGTAGCTGCAGTGCTTATTAACTGATGTAATTTATTTGGAAAAGATTGACCATTGGATAAAAATCAACAGCCACTGTTGATTTTGAATGAGAAAAATTCTGATTGTATTATTAAAGGTAGTTTTTAGAGAAGATAGTTAGATTATATCAGTCATGGCAGACAGACAGAACCAGGGGCCTTGGGAATTAGCCAGGATTTTAAAATCATCATTGACCTAGTTCATAATCTGTTTTTTGAATGGTGACAAATATGAAGAGATTTTTTAAACAGAATCTCTGTTTTGTGGTTTAAGAAATGTCGAAGTTATAAACAAGATATGCAATGCAGTTTTAATTTTTCAATAAAAGTCAATCTTAAAACTGTCTAATTTGTCTCATACAGTGTTTGTGAGCTCTTTTGTTTCCTTAAGAACATGAGACAAAAGCCAAACAACATTATCCTTCACATTAAAAACAGTAAGGCAAATGCTAAGGATACTGTTTAGTTTTAATTGTGAATTGAATGTGAGCTTGTACCAACACAGACTGAGGAAGAACTGCAAGCTCTGAACCCTGATCAGTTTGAATAGGATTGTCGAGACATTATTAATGTGTTACAGCTTCTCAGCTGTATAAATATGTAGAAATGCTAAAACCTAGAGAACCTAAAAAGCTTTCTGTGTGGTGTTTTGTGTGTTTTCTGAAATCCTCATCCAGCTTATACAGAGAACCCAAGAAAGTAAACAGGAACTTTGGAATGGCTGAAAATAATGAGATCAAGCCCTTGTGGTAAAAGCCCTGCTATTTAATCTGTGGATGTATTTATAAAACTTAGTTCTTGTAATGCAGGTCTTACTCCCAGGAAGACTTGAATACATGCTTAACTTTGCACACTTTGCAATGCCACTGGTTGATCTCAGTTTTTGTTTATTAAGCACATTTAAACCTGCACACAATCAGAACTGGGATATTTTTATGCAATCAAAAATCTACTTGACTGAAAAAGTACTTTTCTGAATGTAAAAAAATGCAGGACAGGACCAGGCCTAAAGGTGTTTTGAATAGTGTTATGTTTCAGCACTTCTGTGCTTGTCTGATGAGCAATGATACAGAGACGGCGAGAGGAGTCCTTATGGTCAACTGACAACACAGTGTGGAATCAGTACTACAGGATACTGGGTGCCTGATTGCAAAAGCATTTAAAGTTTGCATCGCAGAGAAACTGTGAGTATTCTTATTGGAGTCAGTTAGAACTGGGTTTCTTGGTTCAGCCACTTTTGTTTTAAGCATTATAATGCATGGCCTTTTCCAGTAAAAATGTTTATTTGAAACACAAATAAATGAGATATTGGCAGCTTTATGTTGTGAGTAAAGTAAACATGTTTTGTAAGAATAATTTTGTAAAGGTGTAAAAGGGAAGCCTAATCTTGCCACCACAGAAGTTGGCAGGGGAATTGTTGCCGATTGCAGGAATCAATCTTTCCCATTCTCGGAAATGAAAGACCATTGCCTAATAAAACAACAGAATGAGACCCTAAGTCTGAGATAGGAAAAAATACTGAAAGTCTTATATTCTCTAAAAAAAGGCTATGCATAACGCAGTAACATCAAACAAATTCAATGTATTTCATATAGTATCATAGGTGTTTTAAAATACACCAGAAACTGAGTATGAAATAGTTGAAATGTAAAATTTATAAGAATGCCATAACTTCAGGGAAATACTCTTTTTCCCTAATTGGACTTGAGTGAACCATAATAATTACAAAATACAAGTCTTTCCCTGTGTAAATGTAGTATGAATCAAAGCTTTTGTTGCAATGCTTTTGGCACACGATATGTCTTTATCTATCTATGCATGACATATAATTGATATCTATCATGTGTAACATGAAAAAGGTGAATAAAAATTTAGAATTCTATACCATATTTTGGGGTAACCTGCCATTCTATTATAGGAGTTAAAATATTTTTAA